TTGGCTAGCTAATGATTTTGGAAATTCAAGGGCCTAGCATTGATGTTGCCTCAGTATTGGTGATGACTGCCCTGTTAGCAGAATTCTAAGGTGGCACATGGCTTCATATTGCAAAAGAAAGGGAGCATGCATGTCTTTGTATCTGGCCTGTCCCTCTTTTAAAGTTACCAGGACTCAGCCATGGGACTCTACTAGAGAGGCCCTTTCTAATCTGAATCACTTTCTACAGGCCCCACCTAGAAACGCCAGGGCTGGAGTAGGTTTAGGCCCTCTTGACTCCATTAACTGCAGAAGGTCAAGGGGACACATCATGTCCAGTCCATAGCTGCCGGTTACAAATCAGGGTGGGATCTGTTTGGAGTTCCTACTTTTGTTTGATTATTCCCTTCCTCCTCTCTCCTCTTTCTTTCTCTTCCTCTTCTTCTCTATTCCTGAGCAAGTACCTGGCTCAGCTTTTTTTCCACATTGGGGATTGAGCTTAGGCCATACATTCTACCACTGAGTTACACTCCTGCCCTTCCTTTTACTCATTTTTGCTCTGACCCAACACATGAGTGTATTGCTCACAGAGACCAGAAGAGGGCACTGAATACACTGGAGTTGGAGTTCAGGCAGTTGGGAGTCACCAAATGAGGGTATTGGGCCTTCTGGAATTGCAGTAAATGTTCTTAACCACTATGACATCTCTCCAGCTCTATATGTATGAGTGCTAAGCCCACATGTGTATATGGGCACATGGGCATGCCTGGTCCCCACAGAGGCCAAAAGAGGGAGTTGGACCTCCTGGGACTGGCATTATAGACAGTTGTGAGCTGCCATGTGGGTACTGGGAATCGAGCCTGAGAACAGAGAAAAAAGTATAAAATAAGTACATGTGTGGGCTGGATAGGTGGCTCAGCAGTTAAGAGAACTGGCTGCTCTTCTAGAGGACCCAGGTTTAATTCCCAGCACCCACATAGGTTTATGATTCCAGTCCTAGGGAATCTGACACATTTTTCTGGCCTCTTTGGATACCAGGCATGCACACGGTGCACAGACATAATGCAAACAATTGCCCCCACCAACAGATGAACAGTCGCATCAAGACAAGCAAACAGAAGCTGCAGTGCTTTTTCATTAAGCCCAGAATAAAGACCAACAATCAGTTTTATGAACTCTGGGGGTGAGGACTCTCTACAAGGCAGCTGTGTTGGCTTTTCTTTCAGTACCTCAAAATCAGTTTATATTTGAGCTATTTCCTGTCTAACTACTCTCTCCTCAGCTATGTAAGGAATATCCTTAGCCAGCTCATGTTTTTTGTTTAGTTCTCTCTCTCTCTCTCTCTCTCTCTCTCTCTCTCTATATACACCTTAGATTGGCCTGGAATTCACTATGCAGATAACACTAGTTTTGAAAGTCTAACCCTCTGCTTCTACCATCAAAGCACTGGGATTCCAGGCATAAGCCACCAGACCAGGCCTTGAGATCTCTAAATCCTGCTTTGACCCTCCACATATGGTCACATAATACTTTTTTATAGTTCCCATAGCATCTGGTATTCCTCGACATATTTTTATTTTTCCTCCAGTGCTGAGATCAAACCAAGGCCTGACACATGTTAGACCAGCACTCTGCACTAACTCCATTCAGGGTCCCAGTATCTGTGTGTTTGTAGGGACCTACCTATTGCAAAGGACTGGAATTGTGCCTATCTTATTACTTAGAATTATTAGCTTCTAGCCTGGAGTTGGTGGCCTATGCCTTTAATCCCAGCACTCGGGAGGCAGAGGCAGGCAGATCTCTGTGAGTTCGAGGCCAGCCTGGTCTCCAGAGCAAGTGCCAGGATAGGCTCCAAAGCTACAGAGGAACCCTGTCTCAAAAACCAAAAAAAAAGAATTGTTAGCTTCTAGCATTGTCTTTAGCATGAGTTAGGATGAAAGAATAGAAGCATAAGCTGGGATACAGCAGAGCTGTGGATCTCATGTAGACCAGGAAGGAACTCCTCCCCAGGGAGGAGGGCTAGAAGTTGACAGAGTAGCTTATTTCCTTTATTAGTCTTTCTTTCTCTTTTTACTCAGGTTTCTCTTTAGAAAGACTAGGCCTGTGTTCTTGCTGTGAATCTGCCAATACAATACAGAAGGAAGATAGACTGTGTGATGGCTACTCTTGGCTGCCAACTTGACTATATCTAGAATGGACTACAATCCAGAAATGGAGGGCACATCTGTGAGAGATTTTCTGCTTGGTTTGGAGTGGGTGAACTCTTTTCTAGTCCAGACCTTTGAGGTAGGAAGACAGAGATGTTGGGACAGGAAAACATATGCCTTTGATCCAGATCTTAAGTCTAAAAGACACATGCCTTTAATTCAAATCTTGAGGTGGGAAGACCTACCTTTAATCTGGACCATTCCTTCTGCTGCAGGTCTATATAAGGACATAGAAGAAGGAGTCTTTTGCTCTTTGCCTGATTGCCTGCACCTTGCTAGTACATCCATTCCTTCACTGGTATTGGAGCCTACTTCTTTGGAATTCCAGCAGCTGAGACACCCTGTCTTGTGAAACTAAAAACTGCTAGATTCTTGGACTTTCTGTTCACAGCCATTGTTGGATTAGCTGAAAAATAGTCTATAAGTCATTCCAATAAATGTATGTATGTATGTATGTATGTATGTAGAATACATATTTATTCCATAAATTCTGTGACTCTGGAGAATCCTGACTAACACAGACTATATCTCCATTTTTCAAATGGGGGGAAAAATCAAGGTTCAAAGACTAAAAATTGCTGCTTCTCTTCTCAAGGGGGTTTGGATGACTCTGAGTCACCATGAAACCATGTGTTTTCTCTGTTTGACATCAAAGTGTGTCCTGCCAATGAAATTATTTATCCTAAACCCTAAACTGCCCACAGCCAGATGGTAGTTTAGTGCAATTACTGTTCCTTCTTAAGGTGACAACATTCTCCAAGTAGAGATTTTTGTCTCACACAAAACAGATTAGGGTAAACTGTGTAACCAAAACAAAACAGGATTTTAGTGTTACTAGTATCGTCAAGTTCAACCAGGCTGGATCACTTCCACATTCTCCCGGTCCCCTCATGCTGGGGCTGGAGCCCAGGCCCTCACACATGCTAACAGATATTTTTCACTAAGCTACATGCACCTTGCCTGTCACAACTGTTTTAATACTTCAACAAGTGGTATGTTTTCCTTCAGACACTATGTTACTAACTATGACAAACATGTCTGTGACAAGAGTTCTTTCTCACTAAGTGACCATCCTGTTCCACGACACTCCCTGTGCATCTGGGAGTTAACCCCACTGTAATCAGTCCAGTGAGAGCTAAGCCAATGCTTGGGGCTCAGCCCAGGCTGATCTCATTTTCTGTTTCAGTCATCATCATCTAGCTCTTGAACTTCTTAGTCATTTTAGCCAAATATGATGGAAATTATTGAAATGTTTGTGTGATGAAGCTGATTTCTATGACAACGGAAATCAAATAATGTAAGAACTTTTTTTTTTTTTTTTTTTTTTTTTTTTTTTTTTGGTTTTTTGAGACAGGGTTTCTCTGTGTAGCTTTGGAGCCTATCCTGGCACTTGCTCTGGAGACCAGGCTGGCCTTGAACTCACAGAGATAAGCCTGCCTCTGCCTCCCGAGTGCTGGGATTAAAGGCATGCGCCACCAATGCCCGGCTTGTAAGAACATTTTAAAAGTAGAAGAATCAAATATGTGACTAAGAAAAGTTTCTGAGTCAGGCAGTAGTTGGTGCATGCCTTTAATCCTAGCACTCAGGAGGCAGAGGCAGGGAGATCTCTGAGTTCAAGGCTAGCCTGGTTTACAGAGTGAATTCCAGGACAGCCAGGGCTGTTACACAGATAACCCCTGTCTTGAAAAACCAAACCAACCAACCAAACAAACAAATAAATAAGCAAAACAAACAAAAAGAATATAGAATATAGCAAATAGTTAGAAAGCTAAGACCAGCACATATACAATAAGCATGTCCTGAAAAACAGCAAGCTTGGTTGCCAGTTAGCAAGAATTAGAGAAACAAACAAGATAAAGCATTGTTTCTGGGGAGATCAGCTGGTGCCAGATAACCCACTGAGGAATAAATTTGTTCAAGGCCACAAGTTAAATGGAAGCCTGATAAAAGAAACCCAAGAAATCTGAAGAGGTATCTGTGAAGCAGTTCACATAATCCTCACTCTGCAAGTGAAGTTATAGAGACCAATGGCTTCTTATCTTGCATTTCTTTTTCTTTCTTTCTTTCTTTCTTTTTTTTTTTTTTTTTTTTTTCTTTTTTTTTTTTTTTTTTGGTTTTTCGAGACAGGGTTTCTCTGTGTAGCTTTGGAGCCTATCCTGGCACTCGCTCTTGTAGACCAGGCTGGTCTTGAACTCACAGAGATCAGCCTGCCTCTGCCTCCCTAGTGCTCGGATTAAAGGCATGCGACACCACCGCACACAACGTTTAATCCCAGTATTTGGAAAGCTGAGGAGGCCGAGCCAGCCTGGTCTATAGAGTAAGTTCCAGAACAGCCACAGATATGTAGAGAGACCCTGTCTTAAAAAAAAAAAAAAAAAAAAAAAAAAAAAGATACGAGGGAGAATAAAAAAAAAGTCCAGATGTGGTTAGATGAGTGGCCCCAACTCAAGTTTCTAGAGGACAAGAGCCATGTCTCAGATTTTTGGGAATCAGGGGCTGTGATCCCCAGTGAACAACCTAAGTCCTGGTTAATGGACGGCTTGTGAGGGGAGAAGACAGAGCGGAATAATGAGGCAAGAGCCTTAGGGCTCCGAAATATCAGGAATCACAGTGGTCATCGCAATATGCTGCTTATACTCCTAGGAATTTATTTTTAGATAAGGAGTGAGAGTGACAGTGGCACAAGGGCGCAACGATCAAGGGGCACACCTGGAAGGTAAACTGGTGATGCA